CCCCCCCCCCCCCCCCCCCCAAGTCTGGCATGCTTGTCATCCAAAGTGCGTGTGTTCCCTTGACCCAGGTTTTGGTAGCAGCTTTGTTTATAGCAGTCAGCACACCATGGGAGCAGAGCAGAGCGGCGTGACTGGGGACTTCCTCTTGATCTGGGGTTTTGTAATACATGATCTGGTAACATAAACCTTCTCTGGGAACACTGCCTCCCATGTTTCCTTCCCCTTGAAGTTCTGCTTGGCTTCACTTCCCAGGCTGCGCAGCAAGAGCTGGAGGTGGGCTCCGCCAGCCGCTGTTGACTGGCCTCTTTCTCGGTCAGTCTCTCTTGCAGAGCTGCAGGTCTCCCCTCCTCTTCAGAGCAACCTCCCCAGCTGCCCCCTGCTCTGGATTTTCTGCCATGAAGCTCTGTGCAGCTTGGATCATGTCATCCTCTCTGACCCCTGGCACGGGCACTGTGGGGATGCCCGCGATCATCATGGCAAGAGTGAGGATGCAGTTGTCAGGGGGCAAGGTTGGTGCTGACTCTCCTGCTCTGTTACTTGCCTTCATGGGCAGCAGGAAAGCACCTCTGGGAGGAGGAAGCCCAGCCAGTGGGAAGCCCCCTGCCGGGCTGCCCTGCTCAGCAGCACACCACCTGTTCCTCTGCTGGGCAGGGGGATACCTATGTGGAGGGGCAGTCTGAAACATGCCCACAGGGCCACAGGGCTGCTTCTCTCTGGCCAGTTCAAAGGGGTAATCCCACACAGGGATTTCATGCTGGGCAAGCCTCCCAAAGTACTGCCCCCTGTATGGCTCCCACCCATAGCCTACCCTGCTGTGGATAAGGAGGCATGGAGTTGTGTGGGCCCCCCTGAGAGGCTGTGTGGGTGTCTTCTGGTACAGCAGGGCAGCTTCTTGCTGTGGAGGGCCTGCATTCGTCTCTGTGTTGCTCCTGAGCAGGCCTGGAACCAAAACCCCGGCAGCCGAGGGCACCTCCCCTGCCTGGTAGACGCTGAGGTTGCCCTGCACCACATGGAGCTGTCTGCTGGCATCTCCTGTAGGGAGAGAAGCGCGGGCTGAGCCCTTCCCAGGGTGCCCCAGCTCGAGGCAGGCCTCACTTAGACGCCCATTGTGTTGCGTGTGGCCCAGCACTGGTGCATCCACAGTGCCCGATCCTGGAGTTCTGGGAGGGGCCATGAAGATTCGGGCTCAGCCTACGTCCCCTGTGCAGCATGCATGAGTACGTTCTCCCCAGGGCCTTTGCTGTGCTGTTGGGTATCTGCTGCATGCATCTCCCGTGGGGATGCAGGATGTGAGTCAGGCCCAGCCTGCAAGTAAACATCTCCAGGAAAGAAAACATGCAGCTGGAATGAGAGCCACACTGCAATTTTCATTCCATTGGAAGGGCGTGGGAGATGCTGGTCTCCCACGTCTGGCCACTCCCTGAGAGCAGCCAGAAATGTGCTGGGATCCCAGCTCAGCCTGGTTTTCCCTGGTGACTTGGGTCTTGTTTCAAGCGACAGCTCGCTTTCGGTGAACACCTGCCCTGGCAACGCAGGAGGGCCGATTCCAGCCATTTCCAAACTGCCCGCTGCTGGGAATTGGCCTTTTGTATCCTGCCCTCTCTACTTCCAGCTGAGGAGGAGTTTGAGCTGAGGCCTCTCTGCCTCAGCACCCTCTCACAGCCTAGAGGGTGGTAATTGGGTAACCTCTGGCTGGTGCCACGTGACCAGCATGTTATGCTCGGGCCACCCTGGATCTGAACAGCGACACAGATGCCTCGAGCCTTTGGTCTCCTGTGAGACACCCAAACCTGCCCTATGGCAGAGCATCCCTGAGTTGCCTTCCCAGCACTTCCCTGTTCGCACAAAATGCTGCTGAAATAGCAGGAAAAGCAGTTACCTTGACTGGGAGCTAAAAAACCCAGCGCCACTATTTCCTTCACTGGATAAGACATGGCCAGTGTTGGACAGGCTTGCCCCATTCTAGAACCAGCATCACAGGCTCCGGCCTTACCTCACACTGGAGCCAGCGCCCAGCACTGGTTCCCCACCTGCGCGTGACTCAGCTCCCGCTGTGTCTAGCCCAGGTCTTCTGGAGCAGGGTGGCTTTCAGCAGGGAATGATGCTGGTGGGATTAGGGTGGCCCTGCTGACCCGCTGGGTCATCTGTTCCTGCTCTGACACCCTTGAGCCTCTGCCTGTTACAAGCAGGCTGGGTTTCAAGCACTTCTGGTTTGTCCCTGGTCCCCGTTCCATACAACGCGTGGACTGTGTGTGCCTGCAGCCACCCTCCCATACCTCTCGGGAGGGCAAGAGCATCCTCACTGAGGTCTGTGACTCAGACAGGCAGCAGCGGGGACTGGCCCATGCTACTCCCCGTCACCAGGACTGTGTGCAGGAGGCGGAAGCTGCATGCAGCACCAATCCTACAAGCAGTGTTTGTTCAGCGCAGTTTGGAAGCACTTTATTGCTCTTGTGCTGCTGTAAGTGGAGCAGCCCCAGCCTGCCCTTCACATGCAAGGAGCTCCCTGCTAGTGCTGCTCTGGCCCAGACTGGCTATGCAGCCCTTGTACTGTCTCTTGCTGCAGCAGACAGCACTTTGCGCGTCAGGAAGCAGAGCCTGCTGAGGCTCCAGCCAGAAGCAGAGCAGTAGGGAACCGGCTCTGCTCCTGGGGCCCTGTGCTTGGAGGGTGGAAGAGCTGTCCTGGAAGACCCTTTTTGATCGCTTGCAGGGGCTGAGAACATGGCAGCTGCCTGCTGAGGGTGCTCCCGCCGCCCCGTCACTCGTATTTGCAGAAGTTCTTCAGGACAAGGGGCAGGTCCAAGCCGTCGATGGCCAGTCGGTGGATGACATGCTTCTGGATCACCTGTCGGCAGAGGGTCTGCAAGGAGGGGACTGAAAGAGGAAGAAGAGGGAGCTGGGTTGGCTGCTCTGAGTGCATCTGTGTCACTCTGGCACCACGCAGGGTCACTGGGTAGCAAGTGGCTCACAATGGGCATGGGGAGTGTGGCTGGCGCTGTGGCTTCTGGAGGGTGGCTGGTTCTGGGGCCCATTATCTTGGCCTCCCAGGCTCTGTGCACTGATTGCCCTGGGGCAGGCCCTCATGGGGGTGAATGCTGCCCTGTGAAGAGCTGCCACTCAGCGGTGAGGCATGAGCTGTGTGCTTGCATCCTGGCTGCCTGCTGGAGGTCACAGGCTGGGGGGCAGCTCATGTCCCTGGGCCCTGATGCCTGTGCAGTTGGAGCAGGATGTGTTGGGGGCAGGGGCTTCCCAGGGAGACAGCTGGTGTGACAGTTTAAGGATGATCTACTTTCTTTGTGCCCATCTAGCCAGGGACTACCTGCTCCCCCCATGCTGCCCTTGAAGCCCCCTCTCACCCGTGACCTGGGTCGCTGCACCCAGCAGGCACACGCATCCCACAGCCTGTTCCTGGACACTCTCTCTCTTACCTAAGAGTTGTTTGGTGCTGGGGGTGGGAATCCAGGTGGCAGCGAGCCAGCTGGTCCCCAGCTAGTGTGTGAAAGGCCTTACAGCAGGGCCATCGGGGTGCGGCAGGGTCAGAGGCTTGGATAATCTGGTCTGTTGCAACGTGTGTAAGACTGAGCTACAGCTAATGCAAAATCTTGCTCAACACCTCTTATCTCTGCTGGGTGCTGCCGGCTTTGGGAAGGAGGGGCAGAGAGGCAGAAATTCCAGCCAAACCACTAGCACGGTTCGGAGCCAGGCTCTGACCTTGGGACCGCGCTCAAAGCGCTCGCCTGTTTACCTTCCCTCGGCACCGGGCCATGGGTTGTTGTGACCGGGGCGCTTCACGAGAAGAGACTTTGCTCTCTGCAGCAATAGGTTGTTCCCTGCTGCCGCCAGGCCTGAATCTCCCTCGTGACCCAGAACCTGTCACCAGCAACATCTGCTGCTTCTTTCTCACTTTTGCTTTGGACCACTATGCAGCTAAAGTGAAACTTCCCTTACATGCTTCATTTGCAGAAAGAGGAACCCCTGCAACCTTTCGTCTGAGAAGGGAAGAACTGCGTTCAGCCTCCTGCACTGCTCCCAGCCATCTTGAGAAACCCAGTCGGGCGTCTCCAGGGGAGCCCCTGCCAGTCCGGACAGCGAAGGGCAGCAGGAGGTGAGAGGGGCTTCGCCCATGTGCTGACCTGGACCTAGACCCTCCACGCAAGGTACTTTCAGCCCAGGGAGGCTGCTTGCTGCAAAGTCGCTGAGGCAAGGCTGGGGCCCAGTGGCCGAGTAAGAGCCGGCTGGGCGTACTCGGAAGTTAGACTTGTTCACGTCCTGACAGCAGAGCACATCTCATGTCCCTGCACCTGGGTTTTCGCAGTGCCCTAGCGCCAACAACAGGGTAGCCCTGGTGCAGGAGCGACCGGTGCGGTGAGGGAGAGTCCTGCCTGCTCTGCTTTCTCGTGAGAGCTTGTTGCGAGTGTGGCCCTTCACCTGGAGTCTGGACGCCGGGTACCAAGCGCTGCAGACAGCACCAGGCGGCGTGGCAGTTATCACGGCCCTATGTCTGCTCTTGCTTTTGGCTCACTTGGTGTTTGGCTCCTGCTGAGCAGGGCGAATTGATGTCAGTGGTCTCTGTGGCTCAGGTGCCCGTCCTCTGAGGAGTTGGGCCACAGCACCCTGCTCAGATGGGCGTGACTTGACCACCCCGCTCTGGGCTGGTGAGTCCCATTCCCACCGTCCCCAGCTGTGACCAGCTTCCCCGGGGCTGCTGCACAAGTGTCTTCCTCACTTCTGCTCCACGCGCCCGGTGTCGGCCCCAGACCCGAGGGGAGAGGAGAGGCTATGGGCACCGGCGGTGGGGCAGGGGCGGCGAGGTACTGGGCAGAAATGTGGCTCACACCAGGCTCGTGGCGCCTGGTGTTCAAGGGCCCAGGGCTGGTGCTGGCTTAGGGCTGCGGCCGTATCCAGCAGGAGACCAGCACAGTCTCGTCTCCCTGCCCTGTGGTGCCTGGGGCTCTGCCCTGGCAGACCGTGAAGCTGAATCTCGCCGGTGAGCCCCCCCACCCATGCCCCTCCCCAGAGCCCGAGGGGGGAGGCTCCTCAGATACCTACAGCCATAATCCACCTGGATCACACGGACGCTTTTGGTGGAAGCAAAAACGTCCACCACGGCGTAGAGCGGGCGGGCGGTGGGGAGGCCCCTGGCGCTGGCCCCCATGTCCTCTCCGTTGATGACGATGTGCATGTCGGCCGTGCCGTCGGGCCGGGGCACGTGGAGCACCCCGATGCGGCTCCGCCGCGCGGTGGGGGGCAGCACGTTCGTCCTGTACAGCTCGTCCAGGAGGTGGCTGTAGCGCCCGGGCCTGCTCCGGCCCACCAGCTTGTCCCGGGGGATGCGGACGTGCTCGATGAGCAGGTAGGGCTCGCAGAGGAAGCCGGGGCCCCGGGCCAGCGCGCCCGCCTCCTCGCCCTCCGGCGCCACGCGGTTGTGGTTCCTGGTGATGGCGAACACCCAGCTGTCCCCCAGGCCCACCAGGTCGGGCAGCGAGTACTCGGGCACGGCAGGCAGGCGCTGCGGGTCGTGGGCCGTCAGCCCCACGCGCAGGTGGCCGCACCAGCCCAGCTCCTTCTCCTCGATCTCCACCAGGAAGATCTGCCCGGGCGCCAGGGGCTCCCGGCTGAAGCACAGCCCGTTGGCGAAGCTCTGCACCCGCGTGGCCCGCGTGCCCCAGGCCTCGAGGCGCACGTTGGCGCCGTGGACGCGGTGGAAGCGGGCCGCCATGGTCGCGGCGCTGGGCCTGGGCCTGGGCCTGGGCCTGGCTATTTTTAGGCGAGCCGGTCACAGCTGCCGGGAGCCG